TGGCACTATTTGGGCCATATTCACTATTTACCACATGGGCCACTTAAGGGTCACATTCAGATTACACATTGCCGTGAACACCGCATCTTTACCTACAGAGGCCCACATGTGATTTGATACATTTGGGCCATTTTTGCTGTTTTTTACATGTGGGCCACTTCAAGCTTACATCCATTTTGTATGGGCCATAAGAAGGTCAGCAGCGCCGTATCATTGCCTTGAGTGGCCCACATCCGCATGCTATCTGGGTATGAATACTATATTTCACAATTTTTTTTTAAACTTTTGATTTTATAATTCTAATTATTCTCTTTCTCTCTCTATATATAAATTTAGGTCCATATATATTTGGACACTGACAAAATTTTCATAATTCTGGCTCTGTATGCCACCAGAATAGAATTAAAATTAAACAATCAAGATGAAATTGAAGTGCGGATTTTAAGCTTTAATTCAAGGGGTTAAACAAAAATGTAACATAAAACGTTTAGGAATTACAACCATTTTTATACAAAGTCCCCCCATTTCCAGGGGCTCAAATGTAATTGGACAAATAAATATAATCATAAATTAAATGTTCATTTTAAATATTTTGTTGATAATCCTTTGCAAGCAATGACTGCCTTAAGTCTGGAACTCATGGACCCAGAGACTGGGTTTCCTCTTCTGTGATGCTTTGCCAGGCCTTTACTGCAGCTGACTTCAGTTGTTGTTTGTTTGTGGGTCTTTCTGCCTTTAGTTTTGTCTTCAGCAAGTGAAATGCATGCTTAATTGGGTTGAAATCAGGAGATTGACTCGGCTATTGCAGAATAATCCACTTTTCTTACCTTCAAAAACTCCTGGGTTGCTTTATCTGTATGTTTTGGGTCATCGTCCAGTTGTACTATGAAGCGCTGCCCAATCAACTTTGCTGCATTTGACTGAATCTGTGCAGAGAGAATATCCCTATACACTTCAGAATTCATCCGGCTGTTTCTGTCCTCGGTCACATCATCAATAAACACCATTCTGGTACAGGTTGATCTTAATTTCAGCCATCCAAAGAATGCTTTTCCAGAAGTGGTCTGGCTTTTTGTTTTGTTTTTTATGTTTTTTGGTAAAGTCTAATCTGGCCTAGTTTGCACCTTGTGGTGAAGCCTCTGTATTTGCTTGGTCTTCTCTTGATTGTAGACTTTAACAGTGACATGCCTACCTCCTGGAGAGTGTTCTTCTCTTGGCTGGATGTTGTGAAAGGGTTTTTCTTTACCATGGAGAGGATTCTCCGATCATCCACCTGTTGTCCTCTGTGGACGTCCAGGCCTTTTTATGTTGCTAAACTCACCAGTGCATTATTTTTTTCTCAAGAATGTACCAAACTGTTGATTTGGCCACTCCTAATGTTCCTGCTATCTCGCCCATAGATTTGTTTTGTTTTTGAAGCCTAACAATTGTCTGTTTCACTTGCATGGAGAGCTTCTTCGACCGCATGATGTGGTTCACAGCAACAGCTTCCAAATGCAAGTGGCACACTTTAGGCCCCGTCCACGCGTAGACGCGTTTAGCTGTATACGCATACATTTTGTATCGTATAGGCGTTTCGTCCACACGGATCCGGCGTTTTGGGAGAGTGAAACCGATATTTTTTGAAACTGGGTGCCAGAGAGGATAAATTTGAAAACGCATTGTAGACGTTATTACTAGGCGAAGCAAAATTTGCTGAAATATCCACGACATAGGCTACAGTAAGAGTACATGGTTTATCTGTCCATCAGATGCGTGTCAAAGTTGAGGTCGTTACTATAACAACAGTAGATCAAACAATCATTGTAAAAAAAATAATAAAAAATTTCTTTGTCGAGATCACGAGAAAATTAAGTCGTTATAACGAGAAAACGAGAAGGAAAAAAATAATATTGCATGGCCGCTTAGAACTTCCGTAAAAAAAAGATCGGATAGGGAAAGCTCTGGCTTCGTGTGGACGTAGCCTTAGAATCAACTCCAGAACTTTTACCTGATTAATGTAGAAATAACGAAGGAATAGCCCACGCCTGTCCATGAAATGGCTTTTGAGCCAACTGTCTAATTATTTATGGTCCCTTGAAAAAGGGGGGAGGTACATATTAAAGAGCTGTAATTCCTTAACCTTTTCCTCCAATTTTGATGAGAATACCAAATTAAACAAATTAAAGCTCAGAGTGTGCACTTTAAGCCCCTATTGTTTTGGTCAGCGGCTAAAATGATAAAAATTGTGCCTGTGTCCAAATATATATGGACCTAACTGTATGTGCGTGCGTGTGTGTGTGTGTGTGTGTGTTTGTGTATTGATGTACAACTTGTGTTCTTGACAGGACAACAAAGAAATATTATTTAAACAGATATTATATAAACAGAAATTATTTTTACAAACACATGACAAACAAAAACTGTTTTTGTATTCACAGCCTGAATATATACCTCTCTCCAGATTTTGTTTTGGAGTTTTTCCAGACTGGATTTTCCTTTTAGCATTTCCATTTTGTGGATGAAACAACATATTTGGACATTAAATGAAGAAAAAAACAGGATTAAAAAAATTTACATTTACTCACATTTATTTAAAAAAATTTAAAGTGCATAATCAGCCAATCAGTAATCTCATTAAGTTAAAAGCACTCTGTAAACATGTGCTCGGTGGTCTTCCATTTGAATATCTGTACAAATATGTACAAATAAATGCACAGATTAGTCTCGGGAATACTTTCTAAAATTGAAATTTAGATAAAAAAACGAAAGACTATATATATCTCTTTTTCCATTCATTAAAAGCCATCTGAAAATCATTTTGTTGCCACAGAAATACTAATACAGAATTTACTTAAAATAACACTGAACTGCACAAAACTGTATAACAGACGTTTCACATTTCATGATGCACGGCCGATTGTACACAGCAGCAGATAAATATGTCTGAAAAGCAGCAAAAAAAAAAAGCTAAGTTTGAAGCCTGAGACAAAATATATA